CTGGTGGACGTGAACGTGTACCTGATCATCGCCATCTGCGCGGTGTCCAGCCTGCTGGTGCTCACGCTGCTGCTGTACACGGCGCTGCGGTGCTCGGCGCCGCCCCCAGAGGGCGCTTGCGGGCCTGGGAAGCCGACGCTGGTGTGCTCCAGCGCGGTGGGGAGCTGGTCTTACTCTCAGCAGAGGAGGAGTCAGAGAGTGTGCTCTGGGGAGGGGCCTCCCAAGACTGACCTCATGGCCTTCAGCCCTTGTCTTCCTTCTGGTTCAGGTCCTGGAGATAGTGGAACTCAACAGGAGATTTTCGAGAATGTAAGTACAGTAATTCTGGCATGTATTTCAGGCCTATTAATTCCTCTCATATAATAGCTCACCAATTGGCGGAACAGCAGATGACATAATGGTTAGTCCATGGACTCCCACGTAGTTGACCGTAGTTCAAGTCTGGACCCTGTGGCTTAAAACTCACGCCCAGCATGTTTGTGCATGTGGGCCCAAAATCCCTAGAGGAAAATGGAGAAGGGATTGTGATGTGGCCGTCCGCCCTTCAGGGGATGATTTCTTTCTTTCCGTCTCTTTGTCTCTCTGTTGAGCACACACACTGTATAATGAAACTCTCTAATATATGTGTGTGTGTGTGTGTGAGACCAATTACTTCAAATCCATTGCTTCATGTATTTGTTTGGCTTTGGGCTTTTTCTTGCCGCGTTTTCCTTGAAACACATTGGAAGTCTAGTGGTCTTCATCACTTTTTACTCCCATAATGGCGAATATCTTTAAGAATTCTTTGGTTGGTAAATAAATTAATAATTTAATAGTAATAATGAAATAGACTGAGCAAAAGTTTCCTTTCAAAGAGAAAAGTCAAATTCCCCAGGAAGAAGGCAAGAATCATCATAGGACCTTAGGGAGTGAGCAACACTCAAATCTACTTCTCAGCTTTGCAGTTCATTCTCCCTTTCATTTTCTTATTCTTATTGCTGCCCTCTATTTGTTATGCTTATATACTTAAATTTATCATCATAATATTTATTTTCAGAATTTATTTTAATTTAAAACATGCTAAATTCTTACCTTCCTCTAGTCTGTAAATTTATCTGTCATGAATTGGGATGGGCAAGGTTGAGACAATTTTGTTGTGTAAATAATTTTTTTAATAATTGGTAGCATACCTTTTTGAAATAGTGGTAGCAAGTGGGTGGAATTTTACTCTTCCTTTGGTGGTGATTTTACTTTTTGTTTTGTCTTTCATTTCCTTAGAATTTCAAGGTCATTTTCTTTGTAAACTTCAACTGCTTCAGTTCCAGAATATATATATTTTAATTTTGTACCAAAATATCAATCCGCTTAAATGCCTGTTGAATTTATGGCTGCCCTAACCCTATTTGATTTATTGATCTCCTCTATTTATTGGGAAGATTTATTGAACACCAATGTACTCATTTTTCTTTGATTTCTGGTACTCGTCATCAGGCTGTGTGGGAATACATTAGAGTAGAACAACTCACACTTCTTCGAGCTTTGAGCTTAAGAGAATCTTCCATATCAGTGGTGCTGCTGTCAGCGTTCACCAAACTACGTGGTCTTCAAAATGACATTGCTTTCCGTGAGTTAAGCATAACACCCATAGAATATCAATAAAGATACTTCCTCTTGACAGCCATGGTGTGGAACACACCTCAGAATTTAGTATTGTATACTCCACTCACATTTGATGTAATCCTTTCTTTTTTGTTTTAATACCACATACATGTGAATTTTAAAAAAGAGATCCCAGAAAACTTGTAGTATAGTTGTAAAGATGAGTATCAAGTAATGTGGAAGGTTACTTTATTCATTTTTTGGCTCTTATTTAAAATGTGGTATTCTTTAATTCTACTGTGTGAAGGAATAAATTCTCTATCTATCTATCTATATGTATACACACACACACATATGTATATATAACATGTGGAAGGAGAACTATGCTACAGAGTAAAGTTAATAGAAAGTTGTTAGTGGCTATTTTCTACTCAGAAAGATGACCCTGAGGCTCTCCCTGTAGCTCAGTGTTTAAGAGCTGTGTAATAAGAGCTGGCTGCCACGTGGCTGACCATAGTTCAAATCTTGGCTCTGGCAGCTTGAAAAACACACCAGGCGTGTATGCATGTGTGCTCAAAATGCTAAAAAGATGGAGAAATGGAGGGGAAATTATTGCAGTGTGACATGTCTCATGGACAGTGGTTCTCTCTCTTTCTTGATCTCTCCCTGGCTAGTGCATGTGCCCTCTGGAAAGGAAAGGAAAAAGGAAGGAAGGAAGAAGGAAGGAAGGAAGGGGAAAGAAAGAGAAAGAAGAAAGAAAAAAAGGGGGGAGAGACAGACAGATAAGCTCTAGAAGGATGGTGTCCATGAAGATGAATATTATGGAAATCTTTAGAAAAGAAAAAAAAAGATGCCCATGCCCTAGTTTATGGTGCTGAAAATTTCTTCCTCCATAGCTATAGAACAAGAGCAAGCATTGGTCACAGATTGCAATAAACTACCATTGTTTGAGATTTTTCTATTCATTAAACATGATGTGAAGGGCTTAAGATGCATTATTTCATTTCATCCTTAGAACAATTTCTTGTAAAGATGAAATGAACAGGCCACTGCCCAAATTTTAAAGATAAGACCATTCAAAATTTTAAAGACGAGTTGAGGTCATTCAAATTTAATAGATGAGGTAAGCAAAGCTGAGAAATGTATCCCTTTTGTTCAGTCCCATTTAACTGGTACATAAGGGAGATAATATTCAAATGGATAGTTTTCATATTTTAGAGCCATTCTTGTATTTACTATAATATAGAGCTTTCTTCAGGAAATCCTTTCTCTTTCAGTCTTGGGTGGAAAAAATCAAGCATAAGGGATATACAGGTGAATTCTCCTTTCTGTTTTAGTTAGGAGAAAAATGCCATGATTATCTTTAACATTAATTTTAGTGTCATATTTAAGATGAACATTAAGATATTTTATGTTAAATAATTTTTTTCCTTAGAAGAGCTGATTATCGTCCTCACTAGTTTTAATGAATACCATATAAAGATGGACCAGAAGATGGCATAATCGGTATGTGCCTGGACTCCCACATGGCCTGCCATGGCTTGAAACTCACCCTGGGTGCATGTGCATGTGTGCCCAAAATCTGAGAGGAGAATGGAGGAAAAGGGATTGTGGTGTGGCCATCTCCCCTGTAGGGTGATTTCTCTCACTTTCCATCTCTCTTCCTCTCCAGAAAATGTACAAGCCCTGTAACAAGGATCTCTCTAAAATGAAAACACAAACACATAAAGATAAGTACATGCGTCTAGCATGTTTTATAAGCTGCCAGGACCAGGATTTGAACTACAATTGGACATGTCGGATTTAAGTTCCTTAACCAATAGACTCTGAGGTCAGCCTGTGCTATCTTAATGTTTTAAAATTGAATATGAGGGACCAGCAGGTGGTGTGGTGGTTGAGATGCTGGACTCCCACATGGCCAACCATGGTTCAAGTCCTAGACCTGGCGGCTTGCTTTCTTGCTTTACCCCCCATCCCCGTCTCTCTTTGGTTAGGTTTAAAAAATAAAATTTAATAAAAAAATTAAAGATGGGGACTAGCAGTTGGCATAATGGCTGTGCCACTGGACTCCCATGTAGTTGACCATAGTTTGAGTCTTGGACCTGGTGACTTAAACTCATGCCAGGCACATATGCATGCATGCCCGAGAGCCTGAGAGGAGAAAGGGGAAGGGATTGTGGCATGGCCATCCTCTCTGGAGGGTGATTTCTCACTTTCTGTCTCTCTGTCTCTCTCTGTCTTTCTGGAAAGTGCACGTACCCTATAGCAAAAACCTCTCAAAAAAATTGAAGATGAACTACCAAAGGTATGGAATAAAAATATTTAAGTTAGAATAATATTTATTCTGAATCTCTTTTTATTCTAAACTTATATTGCATCCTCTTTTAGTCCTCTTAAATCTTTAGGGTGTGTGTGTATATGGCATACACAAACACACACACACACGCACATGAACATATAACCGAATTACATCTTTGGGCAATGAACATTCATGTCAAAAATGTCCATTTTTTGATTAGTATTATATGAAATTCTATTCCCACAAACAGTAAGATCACTTTCCATTAGTTGAATCTTTTATTTTGAAGCAATTAGGGGAGATACAATTAAACTTCACTTATTTTGTCTTGGATGACCTTTTGATCTGAAACCCCAAATTATTGCATCAAGAAAGAAACCACTAGGGCTGACAGGTGGTGTGGTTAAGGTGCTGGACTCCCACATGGCTGACCATGTGACTTATATGACTTGGGCATGCGTGCAAGTCAATTTCCGGACCTAGCCGTTTGCTTTTTCACTTTCCCTCTCTCTCTGCATTCAAATAAAAAAAATAAATAAATAAAATTAAATTAATATTATTGTTTTAAAAAGACAAACCATTCCATGAGTATATCTTGATAGGACTAAGGAAGCCGATCTTGGTGACTTGGAAGTACCAATATGGCACAGAAGTTTTCATGATAATTTCATTAATTTATTGAATGTAATGAAAAAGACTATTTTTGTGGTATCATTGACTGCATTACAGAAAGTGCTATTTTGTTATTTCATATTATACTATTAGCATTAAGACTTACATGAGGCACTATATATGTGCAATATGAAACTAACCTAGCTCCAAAGAGTTTTCCCCTGTGAATTCAAATGTGAGAATATGTTTTTTCTTATTGTTTTCTTATTCTTCTGCAATAGACATAGAGTCATGTGTACAAGAAAACAAGTGTGAATAACAATAAATAATTAGAACTAAAGTAGATAAAAGAAGGCAAGCCCACACAAACAAGAACATAGTACGCAGAACATAAAGACTAAAGAGTTATTGAACTTCAGATTTTTCTTTGGGTTTCCTAGCAGCCTAAGTGATAGAGGAAACCGGAAGTAAAACTGTTCAAAGTCGGTAATATTCTTATATTTGGGGGTGATGTCTTCTACCCTAGTTGTTCATAAGGCTACCTAAAGAATTAAAGTTTCTTATATATTTAAATAAATGAAGGAAAAATTTATAACTCTAAATCAGACATAGAAACTATTTAAATTTGATATTAGCCAAGAAATAAAATGCCATTTCCATATATTTGGTTTCAACATGACTTAAATGTGAACGTTTCTTAAATAACCACTTCGCAAATATTATTTAGGGACAAACAACACGTGCAATTCTGTGGTGGTGGACAGAGCGCCCAAGTACTCACGATTTCAGGCACAAGGTGTCGCTCTTTACTTGGTAGAAAGAGGTGTTTCATAGGTTGGTCTGAACAGCCTGGCATTCTCCATACAAAAGGACTCCATCATGCCGGATGCTACTGCTAAAGGATTCTTTGAAACTTCTCAAAAATTCAGCGAGATTTTTCACCTGAAACCGAGATACCTGTACTGTAAGTGAAAAGAATCTTATTTTGGAAACCAATTTCCTATGCGATGTTCAGTTCTGAGAGAAGGGGATTGGGCGCTCCGCGACTACTGCTCTCGCTTCTGCTCCTCGAATTCTGGAAGGCGGGGAGCGGCCAGCTCCACTACTCGGTCCCGGAGGAGGCCAAACACGGCACCTTCGTGGGCCGCATCGCGCAGGACCTGGGGCTGGAGCTGGAGGATCTAGTGCCCCGCCTGTTCCGGGTGGCGTCCAAGGGCCGCGCGGACCTTCTGGAGGTAAATCTGCAGAATGGCATCTTGTTTGTGAATTCTCGGATCGACCGGGAGGAGCTGTGCGGGCGGAGCGCGGAGTGTAGCATCCACCTGGAGGTGATCGTGGAGCGGCCGCTGCAGGTTTTCCACGTGGAGGTGGAGGTGAAGGACATTAACGACAACCCGCCGTTGTTCTCTGTCAAAGAACAAAGGCTGCAGATTTTTGAATCTAAGCAGTCTGACTCGCGTTTTCCGCTAGAGGGAGCTTCTGACGAGGACGTGGACGAAAATGCTCTATTGACTTACAGACTAAGTGAAAATGAATATTTTTCTTTAGAGTCACCAACAAACAGCAAACAGAGTAAAAGACTGTCACTTATATTGAAGAAGTCGTTGGACAGAGAGAAGACTCCAGAACTTAATTTGCTACTGACCGCTACAGACGGGGGAAAACCACAGCTCACCGGCAGCGTTCAGCTGTTCATCCGCGTTTTGGACGTTAACGACAACGATCCGGAGTTTGACCAATCAGAATACAAGGTGAGATTAATGGAAAATGCTGCCGTAGGAACCTTCGTGATAAAGCTAAATGCCACAGACCGGGATGAAGGAGTCAACGGGGAGGTAACATACTCCTTGATGTCAATTAAGCCCAATGGAAGTCCCTTATTTATTCTAGATAGAAATAATGGAGAAATGAGGGTCAATGGGACTTTAGATTATGAAGAAAACAAGTTTTATGAAATTGAAGTACAGGCCACAGATAAAGGGACTCCCCCAATGGCAGGTCACTGTACAGTTTGGGTAGAAATCTTAGACGCCAATGACAACCCCCCTGAAGTAACTGTAACTACCTTGTCCCTCCCAGTACGAGAAGATGCCCAATCTGGCACTGTCATTGCGCTTATCAGTGTATCTGACCCCGATTCCGGAGTTAACGGACAGGTGACCTGCTCTCTGACGCCCAATGCCCCTTTCAAAATCGTGTCCACATTTAAAAACTATTATTCACTGGTGCTGGACAGCCTTCTGGACAGAGAGAGAGTGTCGGCCTATGATCTGGTAGTAACGGCGCGGGACGGGGGCTCGCCTTCGCTCTGGGCCACCGCCAGCGTGTCGGCGGAGGTGGCCGACGTGACCGACAACGCGCCGCTGTTCCCGCAGC